AAAAAAAAAAAAAAAACAAAGAAACACAAAATTGATGTTCACAACTCACAACAAAGGGACAAATTGCTTACAAAGAGAAGGAAAAGTGGACAGAAAATCACTCGCCTATCATCCGTATGCTGCTGCTGCTGCTAGCCATGGCCGATAGCTATCGACGACGAAGTATTGGACTGTGGAAAAATTGCGGTGGCTCGATCGAGTGTTGACTCGAGAGGAGGATTTTGTACATAGATATGTTTCAAGAGGGAGAGAGTGGGGAAAAAAAGAAACAGTAAATCTGGATTGTTTAAAAAGGTAAAATTACAATTTTAGTCCCGTTAGTTTGATTTAGTGCGGTTTTAGTCTTAAGAATTATATTTTTGCTATTTGGTCCTATACTTTTAAAACTCAGTGTAAATTCAGTTATTTGAGACTGAAAATGTAACAAAATTTAAAAATTACAAGATTTAAATTGTTAATAAAAAATTCATCCAATGAATTGTTGATTAGCAATTTAAGTCATCTAAAATTGAAATATTAGAACTAAAAATGTCATTGCTTTAAAACCAGCGAGACGAAAAATACAATTTTGTCCCTTTAAAATGTACTTGGATGGATTGAACAAAAGTCGTCGTCCCTTTAAAGAATGAATTGTTAATATGATTATCTATTAAACATGCCACAGTTAATTCTTTAGCATATTGTTAATATTGTTTTTCTGCTTTTATTGATTGAATAATGGATTTTATTATTTAAATCAAAAATAAAAAATTAACTGGACAAAAAAAAAAAAAAGGCTGTCGACCAAAATAAAACAGCCGTATACTGAGAATACGTTTTCAATTGTAAAACGTATTCTGAGAATACGTTTCCTAAACAAAACGTATTAATATGTCACGTTTTATAACGAAATAAATTTTTAAACATGTTTAACTTAATTAAATTGCGATTAAGAAAATTAACGTAAAATAAAACGTACTTTCATAATACGTTAGACAGGAAACGTATTTTCAAAAAACGCTTTCAATTTAAAAACGTATTTTTAATTTACGTGTTTTGTTTTTAAATAAATTTTATATACTAAATTAAAAAAAAATAGTAAAATGTACGAATTTTTTTTTTAATTGAAAACGTACTTTCAGAATACGATTTCCTCCCGAAACTGTATTATGACAATACGTTTTCATTTTAAAAAAAAAAAATTACTCCCAGACTCACACGACATAACCACACGGGTCGTGTAACGTCACACGACTCGTGTCACATGACACACGACCCGTGTGAAAAAGTCGTAGCTAAAAAATCATTCTCTTGAAGCCACACGACTCGTGTCACCTACTCACACGAGTCGTGTGACCCATCTGCAGCTCGATTTTGTCATTTTTCAGTCCTTTAACACTTTTCTATGCATATTCCAAACAACCAACAATTTTACTGTACAGAAACAGCAATTTTACAACAAAAATAAAATAGAACACCTGTTTGTCGAAATCAATTCCACAACCAAATATTCAACCAAAATATATCAAAATAAATATTCAACCAAAATATTCAACCAAAATATATTCAACAACCAAATATTAAACCACAAAAAGTCAAGAAAAACAAAATGTCCATAAATTTCCTAATAGTTGCTAGGAGTGAAGTGATCCGGAGGTCTGCGCTCCCGGGAGCCCTTCCGACGCTGGTACGTCTGTAAAGAAGACGAGGCTGTGGCAGCTTCTTCTGTATCTGTGGGCGTGGCAGCTTCTTCTGTATATGAATAAATGATATTTTAAAAAAAATCGGAAATTCTACTTTACAATAAATAATTAAATAAATAATTTAAAAATCATATTGTAGTTAAGTAAAAAAATCTGACCTTCTTCTGCTTGTTCCTCAGGCACGGTATTGGGAGGCACGGTGTCGGCAGGCACGGTGTTGGCATCGAGGTCGCGGACACGGCGTCTTCTACGCCCGCCAATATTGGCACCAGGTCGATGCCTCGCCCGGTGCGACTGCGTCGGTTGGGGTTGGACATAGCTCTCTTGAGATAGAACTTGACTCGACGACGTCCCTTGCGTGACCCCTTGTCCTCCGACAGTCAGTCCACTTTGGAGCATGTTTTGGGCATTTGCGATTATGGACTGTTGCGCTGGAGTGAGTGCATTATAGTCAAAGGTCGATAACAAGTTATAAACCCCCTCCATGGCATTGGCCTGAAAAAAAAAAAAATTAAAAATTATTACCACTAAACAAAAAAAAAAATAATAATAAGAATAATAAAAAAAACACAATTTATTAACACTTACACTGCACATCCCCTGCTCGGACAGTGGATGAAAGCCTCCTTGCTGTTGGACCACCGAGTTGTTGCCAGGATTACTGATTAGTCTTCGAGTCCTATAGTGAAACCAATCAAGGTAACCCGGCTCAGCCTCAACGAACGACTCCACAGGGTAATGTGGAAGGACATGTTGGGCTCGGTCGACCCAAACATTCCCAAGTGCTCCATGATACTCCACCCAATCATAGAATGCCCTCCCAGTCATTCCCTGGCCTCGATGGTGTGTCCGGTACTCAGCCAAACCCCTAATGATCGGAGGGTCGGGGATGGCTTGCCGACACCCGAACTGACGGATGACCCTATCAGGCAGGTGCTGGTCACGAATGTCCCAACAGAAGATCCACCCTCTATACATCCAGAGGTATGAACCTTCTGTACACGAGGCCGGGAGAGTACCCTCGTCCAGGTGGCGCTTATATGGCATCCAATTAAACTGTAAAAATAATAATAATAATATTTATTAAGTTATAGAAAAATAAAAAACGAAAAACAAATATATATATATATATATATATATAATAATCAATATTACTTAAATAAAAATCTTACATCATTCTCTGTCAGCCACGTTAATTGATTTCGGATAGCGGCTGTTCCCTTTCCGATGTGTTTCATATTCCTCCGCCCCACCCACCTTAAAAATCAAATAAAAAAAAAACCAAAAATTTTAATCTCAAAATTTTATAGTAATTTGACATTTTAAGTATTAAATATAAATAAATGTGATTACCTTGCTCCTAAGGGACAACCTTGGACCCTGTCAAAGTTGGTATCCCTCATTTTTGGGCTAATACGAGGGATACGTTCCCATGCCCAAACCTACAGATATCGACATAAATATTTGGTTAATATATATTAGGATAAAGTATAATAACAAATGAATGAAGTAATAACAAGTAAGTACATTTATTTACCTTAATCAATTGAACACAGTTCTTGATGAAAAGTTCCCCGGTCCTGGCGGTCAAGGTGAGCCCTCTATAGACCCCGGCCAGGACAGCTGAACCCCAGCTGTACTGCTTGATCTCATCGATGTCGAGCAAGTGCTGCATCCAGTACAGCATGACCCCATTCGCCCCGGGAAGAAAAATGACCCGATACACCAGAGTATAAGCGCCCTCGCCCTCTTTTTGTAGCGAGAGGAAAGCTCTTCATTTGTTAGCGGTATATAGCACTCATTTTCAATTGCCGAGGTCTTCAAAAACTGGCCTGTAAGTTCCGGGGTGCTCTCCGGGTCGTCATCAGTCTGAGAGTGTTTTATATATATATATAT